GGGGGGGATGTAAAGCACCTATCACAGCGAATAGGTGAATAGCACCCAGCAGGCAGTTAATAAATAGCAGCCAGTCAAAAACCAGCAGCCACCGATTGACATTATCTTCAAACTTTCTTTGAGCGCTGTAACATATGTCTACACTGAGTAATCTAGGCACTGTTGGTTTTTAGTACTCATAATATATATTTATAATATTATGGCATGTTAATATAATAAATATTTATATAATAAACCTGTCAATGTGTGTATATGTACATATATAAATGTACATATAAAATATATTTAATGCCTTCAAGTTTTCAGATCAAGCTGCAAAGTTGCTTATTAAAATGCTAACTAGAAACAACTTGTTTTCACAGTTTAGGATTACAAATGAAAATGCTCATATTAAGTACTTTAAGAAGGACACTATTAACTTAAAGAAGGTCATTATTTATGAAAACATTCATGACAAAAGTTAATTAAACCTTTTTAACAATGCTAGTTGCAAAACTTGATATAAGGCAACTCAATATCAGACTCTGTAAAACATTACCGAGTTCTAAAGTTATGTTTTTAAATAGCTGTTTCTCCCGTAAGTACTTCTGCCACCTCTCCCTTCTCCATTATCCTAGGTATACATGGTTAAAATAACAAGGCACACTTCCCCACCAAGACTGAACTTGGCCTCAAAATTATTCTCAGCACAGCACTTCAGGCAGCAACTACCAATCAATAGGGGTTGATGTGTGTATTGAATCTTATTGGCTATCCTTGGCTCAAACCATGAGGTGCAAATGTTTAGACCATTTTTAAATTATGAAGCTTACATTTATCATTGATGGCCTACCTTTTTGAAGCTTACTTTTGAAATACAGAAAAATAAGACATTTTTAAGATTAATTGTATACTGATTCTCAGAGAAAGAGTTTTTGGAAGTTATATTGGAAATACTACAGGGCTGCTACATACCAGCCTTGGCTAAATCACTTAATTGCCTGAACCTATTTTTTCATTAGTAGAAGAAAAACAATAATGTTTTCTAGGTCTTCCTTACAAAACTTTTGAGATGATAAAATGAGATAATATATGGAAAAGAAGTTTTTAAGTATAAATCTTCTGAAAAATTTAAGGTTAAAGTTGCAAGCAACCTTAGAAACAAACTGTCCAACTCTCATAAATTTCTAAAATGAAAAAGTAGTTCCATAGGGTTAAGTGATTTGTCTAAAGTTACACAGGCAATTATGCAAAGCTGGGTTTAGAATTCACATTTTCTATATCTGAATAAGAAGTAATTATATTTCAAAAACAGTAAAATTAATCTTTAGCCATAATTTATAAACAATGTTTTAATTCAATTGTTGGTAATAAAAGTTCTTTCTAAATTTGCCAGAATCATGGAAATACTTTTCTCTATTATTTTTACTGATAACAATATAATTTTTGCTTAATTAAATGTAAGTACCTTTTAGTTTAAATGCACCCATTTACTACTTTCTTATACATTTGTCTTATATAATGTTCTTGAATCTTATCTTTCAATCTTGTTAACTAAAATGTCCACTGAGCTTGATATTTCTCTACTGAATATTTCTCTATTTAAAAGACATCTATGAGATTTCATATGTGAAAAAAAGTGTTTCTTTTTAACTTTAAAGTATCTGAGAACTCCAATTCCAGTCACTGAACAATTAGATATTATCAGCTATATGCGAGCTCTTCATTATTAAGAACATGGTAAGATTTTTTTAAAGATATAATCGTTTTGCCCTTAAGTTCTTTGCAGTCTAATTGAAAAGAATATCTATATTTATATATTCTAATACTAACAATACTAGGGGAAAAGTTCTACAAGAGTTCAACAGGGTGGTTGAAATTAGAATGTATTAGTCTTTATATAAATGTCAAAGGTGTCTTTGGCATTAAGTAATTAATGGGTAGGAATTTATTAGCTATAGAGATTCTAAATACCTTTGGGCTAATGAGAAATTAATAAACGAAATATATATGCAAAAGAATCACATCGTGCAGTCTCTTTTTGCCTTATGTAGTAAGTAAATACGTTAGTACAGCTAGAAATGTAAATAACTGATTCTTAGGGTTGAAAGGAACTGGAGAAATCATTTAGTGACTCTTTCTGCAATTAATATTCTAAATGAATTCATACATAGAGTATATATCTATGCACAGAGGGCCAACATATATTCTGATAATGTCTAAATGAGAAAATACCAATTTCACAGTCTGGCACCTAAGGATGATTGCAATTGAATTTCAATTCAGTATTTAGGAAATCAAAAAAAGTCCCTTGGTAAAGAAGAGCAGTAGGACTAGATTACAGTTACGGTCTTTTCCAAGCTTGAGATCCTATAACTGAACAAAAATCGGAACTAAAATATTCCCTGAATTTGATGAGGTTAATTACACTACCACTAAGTAGCTTTTTACTATAAGTTCTATAATGCATGTGCCTCTCTCAATCATTCTTTGAGTGTTTAATACTGAGGAGAAAAAAATATCTTTACAGCCTTCCCTCAAGGAGTTTATACTCTAAATAAAAGAAGTTAAGTGTATACCTAAACAGGCATCATACAAAAAGCCATTACAAAGAGGGAAAATGTGGGAAGAAATTACGTTATCTATCCTGCAGCAGGGTTTTCCAGTATCGGTAGCACTACATTTTAGGTCGGGGATGTTCATTGTCCGGGGCTGGCCTGTCCACTGCAGGATGTTCAGCATCCCCGCCTCTACCACTAGGTGCCAGTAGCACCCCCTCTCCCCAGCTGTGACAACCAAAATGTTTCGAAACTGCAAATGTCCCCTGGGGGACAAAACTGACCCAACTGAGAGCTACCGGCCTTAAGAACTGAAGGAAGCATAAGAATTGGTCTTGAAGCCTGGCTAGTATTTTAAGGGCCAGAGACAGATGGAGAAGTGAGCAAGCTGACTCTGGGTAGCACAGAAATACGCCTTTAAGGAAGCTTTGACTCACTTATTAAGTGTCTACTCTCTTACAGATTCTGGTGTTATCAGATCTCAGCATTGCCAGTTCATCTCTAAGACCTCTCTCACCCTTGATACTCTCTAACAAAGAGGTCTAATTTCAAATTCAGTGCCCAACAGTGCTTGTTGGGTTTCAAAAATACAATTTTGTCTTCACTGCATATATTTTAAGAAGACTTCTTTTCTGCTTACTGGCATTAAAAACATCAAAGAGGCTCTAGAAAAGGTGATGTGGGATAGAAAATAATGAGTTTGGATTTGAGTAAATTTTAAGTGAGTCTGAGGTAATAAATAGCAAGACACCAGGTAAAAGAAATACCAAAAAAAATTAAAAATAGAAAACATTTTAATATATCATATGGATATGAAATACATATATAAATAAAACAAAAAGTAAAATAAAACAGGAGGCAGAAGTTAATGGGGAAAAGCATATCGTTGTCTGTTTTTTTTTCTTGCTTTCTAAAACAAAATCATTTTTTATCTTTTAATGAATCCCTCTATGACCATAAAAAAAAACTCCACTTCCAAATGTGACATTCTGAAAGTCATTCCAAGGATGTCACTTTAGCATAACTAAAAAAAAAATGAATAAGATACCTGTATTTTAATTCTCTTCTATCTAAAATAAATTACTTGATTTCTTAACAACTTGTCTATTTGACATTTTGGATGAGCTAAGGAGAGCTTAAAGCTCTCTGTTGCCTCTGAAGGATATAGAGAATTGATTTCTTCTTATTTCTGCGGAAGTTCACCAGGCAAGCTACTTGTGTCAGGTCATTATGATAAGATTCAGCAGAAGTAATGCATTAATGTTGGCTGATATTGCCAAGAAATTACAGAATGTGATACAAAACAATTTCTGTTCCATTATTTTCACTTTGCTTTTCGTAAAGTTAAAATATGCAGAGGAAACAAACATTTGCATAGCACTGTTCGTATTAAAAATTGATTCATGACTTTTCACCATGGAATCCACCAAACCCAAGAGAACCTCACAAACAGCGCAGCGTATTTCAGAGGTTTCCGTTTTAGCCACTTCTATGCATACCACACATACAGCGCAGTGAAAAATGGTCTTTGAACATGCTTCTGTTGAAACTGCAAATTGCCTAGCATTGTCATAGTTTAAGATTGGTAATAAAAAACTCCCAACATCTAAAGAAAAGTTCTAATGGGCCATCTAGTTACTATTCAACTGTTTATAGTAAATGGGCTGTTACAAGGTCATGGAAGTTACACATGTCCCATTTCAAGTTAAGGCTGTTAATCAAAATGCAAATTATTACTCAATGAGAAAACATTTTAAGTCAAAAAGCATATTGTTTAGACTGTGTGTTTTTATGTACTTCAATGAGTCATTAAACCTCTGCCATTTCAGAAGAGAAGTACTCCTGCTGAATATTCAGGGCTATAAGCAAGCGTGTAGTCTATTTTTTTAAATAACCATTCTAGTAAACTAAAAACATAATGCAATAATGCCAGCAATATGTATGTAGGAAGTGGTGCATGTGTGAATAATCGTGTTATAAAAACAGAGCATAATATTCATAATTGTTTTCCTATTTATGTACTAAATACTCTTATCAAAAATGAGTACTGAGCATTTGATCACCATTGATGAAGAGTATTATGAATATATAACATTATTGTTCTGGGCCATAATGTTAGGTTTTCATGAGAATAAATAAACGAGTGTCTGAGACTCATTTGTTTAATATTGGAAGGAGGCAAAGCCTGATGTAAGGATTATAAAGTACTGCTACTGTCAGAATGCCAATAAAGTCTTGAGAACAATATCGAATGACTGATGTGCCTTTCCCTTGGCACTCGGGATTTTTCTGTCTGCTGTCCTGACTTCCAGTGACAAGGGGAGCACTCTCCTGGCCCTTGAGCCACTGGTTTCTGCTCTTCTCACTGCTGATAGAGAGAAGTGCCATAATCCGAGAGCCGTGCATGCCTTATGTTTCCCACACTCCTCCTGCTCCCTCAACCCTCTCCATGTCTCAGGGCCTGAACCAAGCATGGGGCTTGTCGAGCTGTAAAATACCACAGCCTTTCTCTTCACTCTCTTCTTCATGGCGAAGGGGCTCTGCTCCTTCCTCTCCCTGTCTTTTGAACTCTGCTTGGGCGGCATAACAAACAGTGGTAGGAGGAATGTCCACAGTGACCAGTTCCCCACTGTCTCGCTACTAGGGGGAAACCCCAAGGCAATACACTGACCCTAATCAACCTACTACCAGCCCAAGTAGCAGCCCTCTCTCCAGCCATAGAATAATAAAATATTAATACCCACCAAAGTACTTTCCAATTACTGGACTCTATTTTTAATGCCTTATTTCTTAACACATGTAATCCTTACAATAACCCTATGAAACAGGTTGTCATTATCACCATTTTCTAGTTGAGGATACCAGACCCGTAACAATTAGGAAAGGCAAGGTCATAAAGCTAACTAGTGGCAGAATCAGAACACGAACCCAGGCAGTTGGTTCCAGAGTCCCAGAACACACTAAACAAGCACACATGTTTAAATCCAGCAAACAGAAGTGGCTTGAACATATTATTAAAAGGGGTAAAAAGGAACCAAGAGCAGTAATTTTGAAACTCCATTCTTTGTTCAACCTCTGATTTTTTATTTATTTACTCTTTTTTTTTTTTTTTTTTTTTTTT